AAAAAAAAAAAAAAAGAGTTGGCTTGGGAGAGTGAGCTCTGAGCAGCAGGGCCCCAGTTCAGATGCCACATGAGAGCCAGTGATGCTGCACCCTCTACAGCTAAGATGGTGAACAACAGCTCGACCTGGAGCTGGGCCGCCATGAGTCACCAGGGACGGCGTAGGCTGCAGCCCCTGCTGCAGTGGGCTGCCATGAGCTATTGTGAGTGGCCGGCAGCCAGCATGAGCGACCAGCAGCTGCTGTGAGCCGCCATGAGCAGCCATCCAATGGCCGGCAACTGATCTGCCTCAGCCGGGAAAGAGCCAAGATCACAATACCAACGTGGGCCAGTGAAGCGATGTTCTCCACAACTAGAGTGAAGAACAAAAGGACAGCAACTTGTCTGTTCCCCTTCCCCTGATTCCCAGCGCTGTTCCTCTCCCCCAATTCCCCAATAAAAATCTTTAAAAAAAATAAATAAATTTGCTGGATACGAAATCAATATGGAAATTCAGTCAATTTGACAAAGGTACCATAGTATTTAAAAATGTTAACACTAGGGAAAACTGGGTGAATGCTATGTGGGAACACTTTATAACATTTTTGTAAATCTAAAATTATTCCAAAGCAATCTTGTTTTAATAAATGATTTTAAAATAACTACTTAAAATTACCACATCAATTTACTATCAGTAAAATCTTAGTAGTTTAACTTAAACTGTAGAAAAGCCTTTCCATTGATTGTCATGTAATCAGTACTGAATAATGGAATGATATTAAATCCATGCTATTAAAAACAACCATAGCGGCTTAATTTCTTTTTATAGAAAAGTTTTTTTTAAATACAGCACATACCCAGCCACCTTGCTGAATGATGTACTCTGCTGCATAGTCCTCCAGATATGTCACACCAAACTGCAGCAATGAACTCAAAGGTTCTTCACCACGTCTTGTCAACACCAAAAGCATTTGTCGTAGCAAAACCAGAGGCACCAAAATCTTCAATGCAAAGATGAGAGAGTAAAAACACAAATTGAAATTCTTATAATTAATTTTATATGCTCAACTACTAGAAAATTATACTCAAATGCAGCGTTGTGGAATTTCATTTTTATTACAGTAAGAGAAAGAAACACTGACCCTTACTAAAATTTTTGTGACTCATGCCTATAGATTTTATACTATAGGGTGTTAGAAGTAATTATAAGACGAAAATAGTTGGGCTCATGTGCATATGTGTCTGACTCTGTGGAGTGGGGAGGGAGAGGGAGAGAGAAACAACACATAGAAAATTCACTAAAGCATTATTTATAATAGCAAAAGCCTCGAAACGACCCAACAGGAACTGGATAATTAAATTTTGGTCATTCAGTAAAATATTATGCAGTTGTTAAAAAGAATTAGATTGTTCACTGCCTAATCACCAAAATTTACTTTCAGTGAAAAAAGATACAGGAGAGTATGTACAATAATGGTACCATTTGTGTAAAAACATATATGTTTGTATAATCCTATAGAATCTCTGGGAAAATATATAAGAAACTGATAATAGTGGTAATCTAAGAAAGGAGAACAAGGTAACTGGTGACAAGGGTGGGAAAATATTTTTCAATGTGTATCTTTCTGTACTTTTTGCATTTTGTGCCATGTGCATTTATCTATTTGAAAATATGAACTTTCAAAATGATAAGCTATCTTATAAAAGTCAAAAGCCAAAGGAGGCATTATTATCATTCCTAATAACCTTGTGGCTCAATATTTTAAAATCAAAATTTATGATAGAAAGTAACTAGAGTCCCTTGCCTTCCAAAAAAATGCATACTGAAAATAACTAAGTATATTGCCATGCATAATGTGCACTTTTTTGCCCAAATTTGTGAGGGAGAAATAAGGATGTGCATTATACATGGGTAGTACTAATTCTGTATCTATACAAATGTTTTTAATTCTTTTACTTATGCTTATGAGTTAAAAGTGTAACTCCAGAAATCAATAATGATATCTGTATGCAAAATAACACCTGGGAATATGATAATTGGTTTTGTTGAACTTACGACGAACTTGCAACAACGAAGAGTTCCTGCCCTTATATGATGCATAAATATCATAAATTTGCTACCGGTACATAAAATTTCTTGTACCTTGTATCTGTTTTTGTGCTTTGTAGTTATCTGTTACATAAAATTTCTTGTACCATAATTTTAAATGTTAAAAAAATAAATGCTAAAATTCCTTTATAATACAAGAAACAAGTACCTAAATGTAAACAAATAAAATTTTGAATTAAAATGAAAGATATTTTCCCCTGAAAGTTTGGGCCCAAAGCGTGGGTGCACATTACAAACAGGAGCGCATTACACACAGCAAAATACGGTATTTTCAGTTAACCATTTGCATGCAATCTCTTTTGTCTACCACATCAAGAATTCTCCACATGACTGAAAAAGGAATGCAAAAGGAAATGAAACCAGTTCCAGTTCCTTGTTAATGAATTGCCAAGGTAATAATAACTGAGTAATTACAAAATATTTCTGCACAGGACAAACAGAAAAGGCAATGAGCTTATATTCATACTAATATTCTTTGGCTTTTAAGTAAGAGCAGCCTTGAAGGAAGCTATACCTACCTTTTTTCCCCATGTATAAGAAGTTCCCATGTATAAGACACACCTTAATTTGGGGGCCCGAAATTTGAAAAAAAAAAATGTATTACATAAAGTTGTTGAACTCAAGTTCTATTCATCTTAAAATTCATACAACTCCTCATCACTGTCAAAACTCCCAAACATTAGCTTGTCCTCATCTGTGTCTGATGACGAATCACTGTCTTCATATATTGCCTTGTCCTCAGTTCCATCTATGGCATTTGAAATGCCACACTTAAATGACTTGACAACGATCTCAATCTTGATATTATCCCAGGATCTTTTCACCCAGATACAAACTTCTCCTATAGTTGGTTTCTTCACTCTTCCTGCTGGTGTCAAATTGTCCCCAGAAGACTTCATTCATTGGTTCCATTCGTCTCTCATGGCAGCTTTGAAGGGTTTGTTACTGCTGACATCAAGTGGTTGGAGCTGGTATGACGGCAAGTTTTGTTTTTTGCTCTGCAACAATCTTCTTTGTGCTTTTTATGTGTGCCCTGAACTGATCAAGCACCAAAACGGCAGGTTTGTGTAATAGCCCACCTGGTCTTCTGCTCCAAACTTTCTCAAACCAGATCTTCATCCCATTCCTGATCCATCCAAGCCTTGTCATGAACGTGGACCATCACTCCTTGAGGAATGCCTTCTTTTGGCATTGTTTTGCATTTGAAAATCAGCATAGGAGGCAGCTTGGTTCCATTGGCACAACAAGCTAGAACAACTGTATAATAGCTCTTCTCATGTCCACTTGTCTTCACAGTTACAGTTTTTACCCCGTTATCATCAACAGTTTTATTACTTGGGACATCAAATTGAAGGAGGATTTCGTCCATATTTGCAATCTGTCCCAGCTCAAACTGATGTGTCTTCCGACATTGAATGACAAAACGATGAAATTCAAGGACCTTCTGCTCATAGCTTTCAGGCATCTTTTGGGCAAGTCTGGTGTGTGTACGCATGCTTAGTCCATTCCGTTTCATGAACCTGAAGCACCAATTGTGTCCTCCTTTGAAATTAGTAACTTCTTTTTCATCAGCAAATCTTCTTGCCTCACACTGAACCATCTTTGTGGACACAGGAATTCCAATTGCCCTTTGCTCTTCAATCCATATCTTCAATTCCCTCTCTAAATCTGGCCATTTTGCTGACTTGCCTCTCATGGCCTTCTTCTGCCATGGCGTTTTCAGTAGGGTTTCTTCGTCCCATAGCCAGTCTCGGATTGTTTTCTCAGTTGGAGGAGGACCAAACTTACGTTCAGCAGCACGATTTCCATTCACTTTTGCAAACTGGATCACTTTTAATTTGAATTCAGCACTGTATGAAAATCTTTTCTGAGCCACTTCTGGGCAGAACGTGGCCAAACGTAATCTACCGGTAACAAGTGCGAAACAATGAGCGCAGACAACAAGCGTGAAAAAGCGGGAAATGCAAGTAAAAAAATCTACAACTACTGTATAAGATGCACCCAGTTTTTAGACCCCAAATTTTTGAAAAAGGGTGTGTCTTATACATGGGGAAATACAGTAAGTCTGAAAGAAAAAGAATACAACAAACACTTATCTTCTTTTTGATATTCTAAAAGAATTCCAGTCCAAAATATATTAAAAACCCCTTCTTAACACTAATGGAGGGGTTATAAAAAAGAATATATTTAGCTCTGTCCACAATTAGAAAAAAAACAAAACTGTTGTTTATCTAGCAGCCCCTGTATTTTGTGTTAGCAGGAGCAGCAAGGGACAGCTTGTGAAGTAGGCTTGTTGATTCATATCATCTCAACTTCAAAGGCCCAGCATGTTCTGTATCTCAAAACATTCTAATTTCCCATTATAATCTACTAACATGCAACATTTTAAAGTATTCATGTTCAAGCACTATTACCTTTTAGGGAAATGAGTTGCAAACATTTTATACTTGCTATATAAAATAATACTTACTTGTATTTGTAAGAGGTAAATTTACCTCTTTCATATCAAAAAGTAGATACCCCAGTTTTACTATATAATAATCTAGACATAAATCTGTAATCCTCTTTCACTACTGTCTTAATTTTAGTCCTTAATCATATTCCCACTCATTCACCATACTTTTTAGGCTGAAATCTACTAATCTTTGAGTCTCTTCTTCATATGGCAATTCCTTCACTGCTTTGATCATTTAAATTATCCTTTCCTGGATCTTCTCCATCCCAATTACACCTTTCTTGAAATGCAGTAACCAGAGTGTATAAACTTCATTTTACAGGACTAACATCTATTTGTTTGATAATACTCTTGGTGGTACATATTATGTCTATTACAAACTATTTTCAAGAACCCTATATGATGACTTCCAGGCCCACTTTCTTTTAAATATACTTCAGGTTGTCCTTCTACAGTTAAACCCTCTAATTTCTGTGATCACACACAGTTTCATGAGTCATTTCTACAACTGATCTCCATCAACTTTGCATTTTACTACCCACAGGAATTTTATGTCATCTGTATATCTGATAAGTTTTTGTACTCTCTCCCATAGTATTAAAAAAAAATGTTAAAACAAAACTGGATTCCCAAACATCCATTTCTAGAAGGCAGGACTAAACAGAACCAAATAATCTTACCCTTTGAATTCCTTTCTGTAATCATTTCCTTACAGGATAATAGTAATCTTCACAACACATATAAATTATTTTTTCTTCAATAGCTATGCGATGGAATGCTAAGGTACTTTTGACCATCAAAAAGAATTATCTACACTGACCGTCTCCTAATATGTACCACATGGTGTTTCCCTCCAATAAGTCAGACTTAGCTAACAACATTATCCTTTTACTAAAGACTGTATGAGTGTGCCTGGTGTAGAAACAAAGCATACCAAATAGCTCCAAAGGTCCCTTCCAGTAGAATAGACATTTCTGATGATAAATTACATATTTGATCAATCTACTATGTAACCCTCTATGCCTTAACAATTCTAGTAAATGTCACAAATTTTATCTGTGCCTAATGCATTGATAAATAGGTTTAAATGTCTGTGGCCTGCCTGCTTGAAAATACAATTTAAGAGACAACCAGACATCATGTATCACCCAATGTAATGCAAGCAGAAACAGGGAACACTAATGAAGTATTCTTGCCAAAGATTAAACCTGAATATGATCTAAGCTGCTAGATCTACCGACCAATGGACAGGAAATACAGATGTAAAGGAACATGTTAAATGACATCTCAGTGATGCAGTCAATAAAATCCAGAAGATAGGAAATTTTATAGGACAAATAACTTCTAAGTAAATTAGAAAAAAAAAAGAGGGAGAGTAAGCCTATATATTAAAAGAGACTTAAGTCACATGTTATATGATGACATTTATATGAAAT